GTTTTATTACTGAATACTTTTAACATGAGTATATTCGAGATTCTTTTCATATTTACCTTAAGATAATCAATTGTAAAATTTAATATAATTTATGCATATTATTTAAACTAAAATTCCTTTTATTTTACGTAAAATGTAATAATATTACACTGAATATTATTTTAACGCGATCGGTGTCTTATAATAAATTTGGTTGGCATATATTTTAGAAAATAAAAATTACGTTATATATTTGAACCTTTAACAAAATATGTTCGCATCCACTGAAATTTCATCCACAAACATTAATTTAGTACAATATTTCTATAACCGTACTTGGTGTTCTAGTGAAACGAAATATTTATACCTATGTAAATTAACGTTTCTTTAGTTTCTAATTAATATAATTCTAGTAAAGTGTCAAATTTAATTTTAAAATATTACCATACTCGTGATAAAAAATGAAATGAAATAAACAAATACATTTTATAATACGTTAGTACGTTACACTAACTTTCTGATTAACATCGTAACTATTTCATCATAATTCACTAATAGCTACTGAAATTAAGTTGTACTTATGCAACTTGAGTGTTCTGTTTAAAAGCACTAAGTCAATTTTTTAAAATTATTATGTAATACCAAAAATATAATTTAATTACATCGTGAAATTTGTTGAATAAACATAATATATTTTGTATAAATTATCATATTATTATTTATTTATTTTATTTTTAAAAACGGACGGCAGTAATAGTCCAAATACAATTGTCAATGTTTATTTACAGCTTAGCAGTAATATTATAATAGATATAAGATTATAATTACATAATCTCACATAAACTAAGCTTATATCCTAAAAAATTTATTATGTGATAAAACAGCGTTTCTCAAMCTGTGGTACACGGAAAGCTCATAGACGGTACGCTAAAAAATCTCCATTTATAAAAAAATTAAATGATATAAAACGTTATTCACATAATATATTATTTGTTTTTTTAGTACTCRTCCAATGTGATATCTACCGCACGTCTGATGGTTTAGTATGCTATATATCGTAAATATTTTATCTACCGTAATTTTGAAGTATGATATCAACAAGTATTTACCATCTATAAATGTAAATTGTCTTACATTTATAATGCAGTATTTCTAMTTTGTTACTTTTTTTAATGTGGTACCGCGTAGTTATGTATACGTAATTTCCAAGGAATGATTCGAACAGGTCTTCGGTTGGTTTTTGTAACGAGCGCCACCACTCTTCTTGAAATTGGGATGGTRATATGTTAATCGCTCACCGTGTTTTGACATCATATTTATTTTTGACATGTCTCCAAAGAATTCCTATAGTTTGTGTCTCAGAACCAGTCATTGAATCAGTGAAATCACGCTTTTCAAMAGTAGATACAGCATACAGACATACGGTGGATAACGTACTAAACTATCATACAATTACGGTAGATAATATATTTACGGTAAATAACATATTGGAGGAGTGCCATTAAATTTTATACAAATTAACAACAATCATTAATACAAATTAATAAAAATATTTATATTTATATTAATATTAATAAAAATCGTTATATTTCTTATTTTTTAATGCATCAAATATTAAAATGTTTATATCATTACCATCATTTTGTAATTCCTAACAAAATAAAATTCCATTTATGTAAAATAAAGTGCACATTTTTAATAGACAAAAAAATATTTATTTCATCAAGTGACATACKACAATTTTCAAACTTAGTACCTAGGTGATACACAGATAAGAAAAGGATAAGAATCGCTGATATAATAGTTATATAAGTATCATAGATATAATTTTGTTCTTGTAGCATCCGAATAACTTATTCAAATTTTGATTTTTGGAACTAAATCATATTTTAAAATTCTTGAGATTTTTTTTTTCTACTATAGAAGTGGTTTTTAAATAATATCCCCCTCGATTT